CATTGGCCCTCCCCCCACAGCGATGTCCACGACAAAGTTGCCCGTCCGGCACCACGAGGTAGGGGGTTGTTTTGCCGGACAATACAACCACCACAACCACCACAACACCACCATAAATACAACCACAACACAACCACAACACAACCACCACCACAACACAAGCACCACCACAACACAAGCACCACCACAACACAACCACCACAACACAACCACCACCACAACACAACCACCACCACAACACAACCACCACAACACAACCACCACAACACAACCACCACCACACCACAACCACCACCACCACACAACTACCACAACACAACCACCACCACACAACCACCACCACAACACCAACACAACACCACCACAACACAAACACCACCACAACACCACCACAACACAACAACCACCACCACAACACAACCACCACAACACAACCACCACCACCACAACACCACCACTACCACCTCCACCACATTACAACCACCACCACCACCTCCACCACAACACAACACCACCACAACATCACCATCACAACACAACCACCACCACAACACAACACCACCACAAAACAACAACCAGTACCACCACCACACAACAACCACAACACAACCACCACAACACCACCACAACACAACCACCACCACCACAGCACCACCACAACACAATCACCACTACCACCTCCACCACAACACAACCACAACACAACCACCACCACCACAACACCACCACAACACCAAAACAACACAACCACTACCACACCACAACACAACAACCACCACCACAACACCAACACAACCACCACAACACCACCACAAATACAACCACAACACCACCAAAACACAACCACAACACAACCACCACAACACCGCCACAAAACCACAACACAACCACCACAACACCACCACAACACAACCACCACAGCACCACCACAACACAATCACCACTACCACCTCCACCACAACACAACCACAACACAACCACCACCACAACACCACCACAACACCGCCACAACCACCACCACACCACAACAACCACCACCACCACACAACCACCACCACAACACCAACACATCACAACCACAACACAACAACCACAACAACCGCCATTCGCCACTAAGTGGCGGCGATGTCACCACGACGCTTGTGTCAGGCCATGTGCACCTTGAGGCCACGTGAAGTGTCGAAGGCCCGCTGGTAGGTCACGGGGCAGACCCAGGTGTCACGGGTCGACTGACTGAGATGACCGAGATGACTGGCTGATGCACCACCTGTGCCCCCTACTGTGCCAACTTGCTGTGCTTTAGCCACCCGGCGCTCCGCTCGTTGTTGTGAGCGTTGCTCCTCCGCCCTCCGTTGTTGCTGGAGGGCGACTCCAACTGCCCAGTAGAGTCCTTCACGAGCCTCCTCCACAGAGGCCGATCTTTACACCGCTGGTACCGGTCATCGGCAAGTCCACTCAGCTCCACGTCTTCCTGTACCACATCACTCCATCTCTTCTCTAGCCTGTGCCGCGCCCGTTTAGCCCCCTCGATCCGGCCGAACAAAAGCTGTTTAGGCATGTGGTGGCTGGGCATGCGGGCTACATGACCCAGCCAACGCAGCCTTGCCTGCCGGAGGAGCTCACCGATGGGACTTTGCCCAGATCTTTCAAGGATTTGTGAGCTCCTTACACAATCCAGCCTGGTTAAACCCAGGATGGATCGTAGGCAGGCCAGACTAAATGTTTCCAACCGGCGAAGATGGCTCCATTAGGGGGGTCCACATTTCGCAAGCGTAGACAAGGGAGGGAATGACTGTGGCCGAGAAGACCTGAAGCTTTGTGCGGAGTGACAGACCAGGTAGCTTCCACACAGCCACTCGACTGATTCGGAGTGACACCTCTGCTGTTAAACTGGAGCCGGTCATAAGCACACTGCCCAGGTATGGGAAACTCTCCATTCTCTCCACTACTGCCCCATCACCGATTGGGAGTTGTGGGGGTGGAGTGTCCGATGGTACAAAATACCCAGGCAGCTGCTTAGTTTTGGTGGGGCTGATGGTAAGGCGACACCTCTTTGTGGCACCCTCCAGTCTCAGCTGCAGCATCTCCAACTTCTCCTCTGAATGAGCAGCTATTACCAAATCATCAGCATACATAACGTGGTTGACCAATAGGGAGCCGTCCCTTGATCACACCCGGGCATCGATCAGCCTCCCATTATATCTGTACCAAATGGAAATTCCCCCGGTATAGCTATTGAAGGCTTCACGAACTACGTGGTCAAAATAGATGTTAAATAATGTGGGAGCCAGAGGACATCCCTGTCGCACCCCAAGGTGTACAGGGAAAGGCTCTGACTTCCGGCCACGTAGTTTTACCCGGGCCCGCTCACCATCATGAAGGTCCTTAATGATCATGAGCAGAGGGTCAGGGACTCCGAAAGCACGAAGAACAACCCAGAGCCCAGGCCTACTGATGGTATCATAGGCCTTGACCAGGTCAATAAAGCAGAGATGTAGGTCTTGTTGGAATTCCCTACACCTCTGCTGTAGCAGACGGACAGAAAATATGGCATTTGTGCAGAACCGGCCTTTCCTGAAACCGCATTGGGGCTCCGCAAGCCTCTCCTCAGCGTGCCTAGCAAGGCGATGTTGAATAATCCTTGCCAGGACCTTTCCCGGCACACTGAGGAGTGAGATGCCCCTGTAGTTGTTACAGTCTGTGCGGTCCCCCTTTTTAAAGAGGGGGACCACCAGGGCATCCTTACAATCCTGCGGAACCCGTCCAGTGGTCCAGACTGTTGTTATGATGTCATATAAGGCAGTCTGTGCACAAACGCCACCCTCCCTCAGCATTTCGCTTGCGAGATCATCTCTGCCCGGTGCCTCTCCTGGTCTCAGAATCCGGATCGCCTTCAGTGCTTCATCAACAGATGCCACCTCAGCCAGCCACTCACAGGGGTTGACTTCTTCCAATACTTGAGGCACTGCAGCCTCAGCAGAGTTATCCCCACTTTGTGCTATGATGTTCTCCTGGCTGAGGGATGTCCCCTCCCCAAGGACCTCACAGAAATGCTCAGCAAATCTGCAAACCTGTCGGAGATTGGATCGCCGTTTTTTCCCCTAATGATGGTAATAGGTGTGGTGCTGCAGGTTACTTTTTTGATGGAGTTCAATAGTGATTTGTGATCGCGGGCCACTGAGGCAGACTCCATCTCCTCAGCAACCCGCGACCACAACCCATCCTTGCAGCGCCTTACGGCTCTCCGAACCTCCGAGTGAAGGCTGCGGTAAGCCTCCTCATTCTCCGACGTGGGATGCTGTAGCCGATGAGAGTGGGCCTGTCGCTTTTTCTCAACTATCCTGAACACCTCTGTCAGCCAGGGTCTCTGGGGAGGACTGGACCACGTACCCAAAGCAGCCATTGCAGCTGCATGAGCCACAGTCCTAAACCTCGCCCATTTACCCTCGACATCAGGAGTGGGGGACGATGTCAACCCGCAAGCGATATTCTCGCTTGCAACTCATCATCTGAGACCAAGCCACTTTAGGTTGGAATGTGGTCCTGGGTGTACACCCAACACCGGAGTGGAAGAATGGCAGGCGCATCTTACAGATGACCAGTCGATGGTCAGAGGGCAGATCAGATCCACGGTAGGGCCTGGTGTCAAGGACATGGGCTCGCATCCGCTGGTCCGTCACTATGTAGTTCAGCAGATGTTCTGGCTTGGACCCGGCATGCATCCATGATGTTGTGTGGATGCTCCGATGCCGGAAGAGCGTGTTGGTAATTACAAGCCCATGGGATGCACACAAATCTAACAGCCTCCTACCATTGTTATTGAGCTGATCAGGCCCATGCCTTCCAATCACTCCAGACCAGGTGCCAGTATCATGACCAACTTGGGCATTGAAGTCACCCAACAAGATAACTCTGTCCTGAGTGGCCACTTTAGCCAGCACCTGTGACAGGAGGTCATAGAAGGCATCTGCCTCATCGGCTTTCCCTGCATCCCCCCACGGATGTTCGTCTTCAGTGGGGTCATAAGTAACCACGACCACCACTCCTCGCCTCCGGTTGATGGGAAGGCGAGCCCAAAGTAGCCTGGGGCTTACAGCTTCCCACACCTCACCGCCACGCTCCCACTCCCCCTTCCTTCTTTTGTTCAGAAGAGCCACACCCTGTTGTTTGGCAGTCTCCTGCCCCGAGTAGAGGACTGTCCACCCTCATGGTGGCAGGAGCCAGAACGAGTCCACCGGACCTCCTGCATGCCACACAGATCCAGGCGGTACTGATCCAGCTCCTGACAAAGGAGTGGCAGCTTTTCCTCCGCAGTGAGCGTTCGAACATTCCACGTGGCCACAGGCAGTGGCTTTTCGTTGTTTCTGGAGGAGCCCCGTGGGTGAAGATTCAATCTCCTGGCTCCGCCAATTGGGGTTTGGCCAGGAGACGTCATGGACCCCTGTTCCCCCGGGACCTCCGCCACAAGCTTATTAGTTACATATTTATGTTTACGTCGTGGTTTAGTGGTAATTAATTGAAGGTGGAGGGGTTACCAGCCCCTAGCACCTGTCCAAAGCCCCCGTTTAGCCACTGTGGTGGTCACAGACGCCATGAGGGGAGAGGCCAATGGGCATTGGCCCTCCCCCCACAGCGATGTCCACGACAGAGTTGCCCGTCCGGCACTGCGAGGTAGGGGGTTGTTTTGCCGGACAATACAACCACCACCACCACAACACCACCACAAATACAACCACAACACAACCACAACACAACCACCACTACAACCACCACAACACAACCACCACAACTACAACCACAACACAACCACAACACAAGCACCACCACAACACAACTACCACCACCACAATACAACCACCACCACAACACAACCACCACCACAACACAACCACCACCACAACACAACCACCACCACAACACAACCACCACCACAACACAACCACCACCACAATCACCACCACCACAACACAACCACCACAACACAACTACGATGTCAGCACCTCTGCTCATAGATCCACGGAGTAGACTCCCTGACGTCACTTCCTGGTTCAAGGGTCGTCTCGTGACGTCATTGAGCGCGAAACGCGCTCAGAGTGAGGGGCGGGGGTGGGAAAAAGGGGCGGGGGGGGGAAGAAAAGGGGCAGGGGAGCGTCACGTGCTCGTTGACGTCACGAGACGACCCCTGAACCAGGAAGTGACGTCGGGGAGTCGACTCTGTGAGTCTCTGAGCAGAGGTGCTGACATCGTAGTTGTGGTGGTGGTTGTGTTGTGGTGGTTGTGTTGTGGTGGTTGTGTTGTGGTGGTTGTGTTGTGGTGGTTGTGTTGTGGTGGTTGTGTTGTGGTGGTGTGTTGTGGTTGTGGTGGTGGTTGTTATGTGGTGGTCATAGTTGTGGTGGTTGTGTTGGTCATAGTTGTTGTGGTCGTAGTTGTTGTGGTCGTAGTGGTTGTAGTTGCGGCCGTCGTAGTTGTGGTCGTAGTTGTTGTTTTGGTTGTGGTTTTAGTGCTCGTAGTAGTGGTGGTTGCTGCAGGGACGGATCAAGGTTCTTGTAGGCCATAAGTGATCACTTTCAACAGCTGCTACTGCTGCCCACGTTACTACCGCCGCTGCCTTCGATCTCGCCTAGATTGAAGCAGGCTGCTTTATGTGAGGAGCTCGCAAGTCCTTGAAAGATCTGGACAGTCCCATCGGTGAACTCCTCCAACAGGCGAGGCTGCGTCGGCTGGGTCATGTGCCCGTATGCCCAGCCACTGCATGCCCAAGCAGCTTTTGATAAGTTATATACAGGAGCCTAAACGTGTGTGTCATGGGCTAAAGATGAGATGATATTATACAGGACGATGTGTGAGTGATGTGATACAGGAGGATGTGGAGCTGAGTTAACTTGTTCACGACTGGTACCAGCGGTGTCAAGATCGGCCTCTGGAGGAGGAGGAGGCTCGTGAAGGACGCTACTGGACAGTTGGAGGCAGTCACCCTCCAGCAACAACGGAGGGCAGAGGAGCGACGCTCTCTACAAATGAGAGGAGCGCCGGGTGGCTAAAACACATCGAGCTGGCACAGTAGAGGACACAGGTGATGCATCTGCCAATTATCTCAGTCAACCCATTGTATCTGGGTCTGTCTTGTGACCAGCCAGCAGGCGTTCAACAATTCACATGGCCTTAAAGTGCACAGTGCCTGGCACAAGCACGTGGTGATGTCACAACAGTGTCAAATAGTTTATTGTTGTGTGTATGTGTGTATATATAGTGTAATATGTATGTGTTGCTACTGGGTGTACTGCATGTGATCGATGCCCGGGTGCAGTCGAGGGATGGCTCCTTATTGCTCAACCATGTTAGGAGCCCATCTTCTTGGTTCTTTCGGTAAAGTCACGGAGAAGGGAAGTAATAAAATAATAAAAATAATAAAATAATTCTCACGACGTTTCGGCCACAACGCAAGCAGCCGTCCTCAGGTGAAGAATGAAGCACCACCTAGTTTGGAGCGTATATTTAAGCTGGGTTGGAGGGGGGAGGTGGGAAGAAGAGTGCCTTGACAGAAGAATTTGCATATCAAGAGGAATTTAGCATATTTATGGGAAATGCGTAGAAGGTGGGCGGGGGGTTTCAAAGTCATTAAGCCCGTGCATTATGCAGGATTAGCAGCATCAAAGGGAGGGGATGGGGGTAGCATTAACAAAGGGAAGGAATGTTAATAGTATGTAGCTGCAGTTACTTAACAACCACTTAAAAAACTAAAGTTTAAACTACATAGTATCATCAGTATACTAAATATACTCTCCAATAAGCGGAGCTACTAACAGGAAGTAATACATTACAATTCTATGTCGCAAAAAATATAATATGCTTCCAGCTAAACTTTTTTCTCTTACATCACACGGGTCTACCCCGTACTATATACTACCATAGACAAACCCAGCATTAAATTATATATTGTATTACTATACACCACTCTATACCTTCGACTTTAATATTGCCATAAGTATTATTCTACCCACCCTACTGTATACCACACTGCTGTATATTCACTATACAATTACGATACTGTATATTACCTTATATATTGTATTAAACATTACAATTTTATACTATTTATATCTGCTATACACTATACCATTGACCATCGCGTGAAAGATACTAAAAGGAAGCAACGAAATATGTCAATAGGAGAGTGGTGAAAGGAGACTTGCAGCGGAGCAAAGAATCCATTCCCTGTGGAGAATCTATATATATAAAATCGTGAATGTCTGTCTGTCTGTGTGTGTGTGTGTCGCCGGACCATACGCACTTTCATTGGACGCCGGTTGAGTCTGCCAACGGCTAGCGACGCCTTCGCCGCTTTCATTGGACCTGGCAACGGCTAGCGACGCCTTCGCCGCTTTCATTGGACCTGGCAACGGCTAGCGACGCCTTCGCCAAGGGCTGCACTTTCATTGGACGGCGGTTGCCCCTGCCAATGGCTAGCCACGCCTTCGCCACTTTCATAGGCTCCGTAATTAATTAAATAATAGCCATTACACAGTATTGTTGGAGCGCTGAGGGGCGGGGGAAGGAACGCCACCCGTACCCTGCCTCTGCCGGGTGCCCAATTTTGGCGAGGCCGCAGGCTCTGCACGCTACTAGGCCTCGACACCCACCACGCCACTCTGAGGTAAATTCATCAAAGTTTTTCGTACTTTTCACTCCACCCCCACCACAATGTGTGCAATTCATATTACTTTTAAACCCAACGCGCCAACAATCGATTACTTAAATGTTCACTGTACAAATAGTCATTAAGCTGGGTCAGCGTACTGCCAGTCTATCATGTAGACCTTAGCCTGCTTATTAAGCTCGGTGAGCGTACTGCCACTCTATCATGTACACTCTAGCCTGCTTATGAAGCTGAGTGCGTGTACTGGCAGTCTATAATGTGGACTTTTGCCTGCTTATTATAATCGATTCTTTATATGTTTGTACAAATAGTCATTAAGCTGGTTGAGCGTCCCCAGTTCGATTCCAACTCACGCCCACCACCGCTGACGATTATTTGAAACGGACCTGGGCCTCCCCTAGGTCGACTCAGCCTCAAACGCGTAACTGCTGTCGTGTGTGAACATCGTCACTGGGGAGACAAAGGCGGCCGGGCATCGTGGATCCAAGTCCCGGGCGAAGCCGGGTCATGTCTATGTGTGTATGTGTTTATGTGTATGTCTGTGTGTATGTATGTATGTGTGTATGTATGTGTGTGTGTGTATGTGTGTGTGTATGTATGTGGGTTTTTTTGTATGTCTTTATGTGTATGTCTGCGTGTCTGTATGTATGTGTGTATGTACGCGTGTGCATGTGTTTGTGTGTATGTATGTGTGTGTCTATGTATGTGTGTGTATGTGTTTCTGTGTATGTATGTGTGTGTATGTATGTGTGTTATGTGTCTGTCTGTGTGTCTGCATGTATGTGTGTGTGTATTGTGTATGTGTTTGTATGTGTTTGTGTGTTTACGCTCGCATTACACAAATGTGTTGCAGGTCTAAGGCGTTCCTTGCGCAGCATTGCCGTTTTATTATTTCAGTCGTTTACTGCCGTACGCACCCTGAAAGTCGTGTGTGTCTGCAGCAAGCGCGTGTATGTGTACCTATGGACGCGCGCGCGCGTGTGTTGTGTAGGGGGAACGGTAGTGTAGTGCTTAGCGTGCTGCCTGTGTCTGTGTGTCTGTGTGTGTGTCTGTGTGTGTGTCTGTGTGTGTGCGTGTGTGGTGTGTGGGGAGCGGTAGTGTAGTGCTTAGCGTGCTGTCTGTGTGTCTGTGTGTGTGTGTGTCTGTGTGTGTCTGCGTGTGTCTGTGTGTGTGTCTGTGTGTGTGTCTGTGCGTGTGTGGTGTGTGAGGATCGGTGGGTGTAGTGCTTAACGCTACGCTGCGCTACCAACCCGGCGAACCCAGTTCGATTCCCGCTCACGGCCACCACCGGTGACCATTATTTGAACCTCCCCTAGGTCGACTCTGCCTCAAACGAGTAACTGCTGTGGCGTATTAACATCGCCACTGGGGAGACAAAGGCGGCCGGCCGTGGTGGATACAAGTCCCGGGCGAAGCCGGGTAGTACAGCTAGTACAAGATATATAGTCAATGCCAGTGAGTGGACTGCGGTCTGAAAGTCACCGTAAACGTGA